AGACTGCTCCAGCTACGGTGTTCAAGGGAACGTTTCCGCAGGTTTTTCCTCCCAGCAGCTGTCAGGATGTATAATGCTGCGCTAGGCTAGGACTGTTAGCCCTTCATTTGCTCCTCTATGGACAGCATGTTTACTCCATTGTACTTTTTTGGACTTTTGTTTTATAACTATTTTGATGTCTGTTTTGCTTGTCTTGGGCTGGACTGCTGTAACACATCAATTTCCCTACGGGATTAATAAAGTATTATCTATCTAAAGTGTCCTCTGCATTGGCTGGGAATACAACCTGGGGCCATCTAACTAAAAGGTGAAAATTCTATCACTGAACCTAAGTATCACATAGTAGGGCTGCAGATGAAATTTTATAGAGACTTACAGGTCGATCTCACACTGATTGGCCCTAAATTTGAATGACTGCCTCTTTTTAATTGGTGACATCTGGCAAGATTTCCGTTCTGTACATATTTTTAACAATCCGCTTGGACTTGAACATTAGTCACACACTCCCCACCTGCTTCTGGCAAACTGGTTTTTATTTTTGTTCCCCCCCCCCAATTTTATTTGGATGACGATTGGATATTTGGAGATTTTCACCCATGTTTGGAATCTTAAATCTATTTGGCTATAGTGCTATGCATTTGTTAATATAAATTTTGTTCTCAATGTCTTTAAACGTCACTGACAAAAATCAAATGTTTCCTAAATTTCTTGTATGAATAAAAAAAAATATTTGTATGTTTTGAAAGTAAAATAACTAGAAAACATAGCTGTCTTGTTTTTTAATTAAGGACATTAGTCCTACTTTTGGGTTTACATTTTGGCTTGTATTCTTCAATAACAATAAGCACAAGTGACCGTGTTACTTTGATGGAGATGTTAATATTAAAAAAGTGAAATTTGCTACCACTACCAGATATATAAATATATTACGTTTATATTCATTATTTTATATTGTTATTGACATTCAGAAATGTATTTTTATTTTCAGCTAACAAAACATCCCTTTAGTTACATGACTACATATTAATATTCCATATTAAGTGGATTTAAAGAAGTAATACATCAGATTAAATTAAGCTAATGTTTTCACTAACATCTAATGCATTGCAAGTGCCACCTATCAATCTTCTTCGACTAGTGAAGATTCTTTGGGTAGTGTAACAAATCACACCATGGCACAGTTGAGTGGCTGCATCAATATATCTTCTCTCTGGTGCAAGTTTTTGACCTGTGCTACTTTAATGACTACTTGTGTTTATCCCATGATTTGTTCAACTCAGACCACTTTCAAAATAGTGCTTCATTCAGAATTTCAAAATGTCTTTCATTTTGTTGTAGAATGTATTGTATTTTATTGTAGAATGTTTCTGGTTAGGTCTTTCTAGAGCTATCTTTAAGTAATTCATTTCTTTTCCATGGAGATTCTGATTTTATTTTATTTAACTTACTTTTTTGAGCTAGTCTTTATTCCTTAAATGTGACATGGTCATATGCCATGTTTTGCTGTCCTGAATTCACTTAAATTATGTTATTGAATGTCTATGTATGCAGATTCTCAAGTAGCTAATTTTAGAAATATTTTAGAAAACCTGGTGCTTTTTTAAATTAAATTGCTTTACTTTAACTCAATCTTTTATCTTAACCAGTTTGATAACAATTTAAAAAGCCAGCAATATTAAAAATATGTAATATTTAATATTAAACACTCAATATTTAATATTAAATAATAACTAATAAAATGATAAAGAATAATCAATCCAAATAAAATAATAAAATATATTTAGTATTAATATTAAAATATCATATTTTTTATAACCATCATTCCCCACAATGACGGTCTTACAGCCCTCAAGCACATGCTAGACAAACCCACAGTGCTTGATCAACCCACCCACACTCTAGTGCGTCTTGCACAATTAGTTCTCACACTCAATGCCTTCTCATATAATAACCTTTTTTATCATCAGGTTAGTGGAGTCGCCATGGGCACCATAATGGGATCTAGCTATGCCAGTATTTTTGTCGGCTGGGTAGAAAAATGCTCCTTTGCCTCCTATACTGGCTTTGTCCCTGACCTCTACAAGCGAAACATCGATGACTGCATCGGTGCTGCTACATGCTCTACTGACCAGCTAGAGCACTTCCTGCATCAATTCACTAACTCTCACCTGTCCCTCAAATATACAGTTAACATATCATCCACCACTCTTCTGTATCTAGACATAAATTGATCTGTTACCCATCCACGACAGTCATCCTCAGTCTATTACAAAGCACCAGATTCACACAGCTATCTCCTGTTCAGCTCTTTTAATCCCATTCACACCAAAAATTCTCTCCCTTTTTCACAGTTCCTCAGGCTACATTGACTCTGCAGTGATGACATGAATTTCCAGAATCAAGCACTTAAAATGTATTCTTTTTTCATCAACAGAGGATACCCCACTCATGTTATCAATAGGGCCCTCACCCGGGCCAAAAACAGCCCTCGGCTCATCAATTCAACCAGGAACTCCCGGTCTCACCATCTTTTCTAACTGCCCAATTATCTCATACCACCGACCCAATCTACATACCAACTTCTGGTTCACAGCTCCCTTGACTGCACTCGGAAATCATCCCCACTAGGCACCTTCCCCTGCAACAGAACTTGCTGCATCACCTGCAAATACATATCTACTGTAACAACACACTCATTCAGGGCCCCTCAGGTCAATTACAGATCACCCAAACGACATCCTGTACCTCCAGGAGCCTCATTTACTGTATCTCCTGCTAAAAATGCCCAGCTATCTACGTTAGGGAAACCGGAAGGAGACTAGGAGACCGCTTCAGAGAACATGTTCGGGCTGTGAAGATTAAAGATTTCTCCAAGCCCATAGTTTCTCATTTCACCTCAGATGGCCATGATCACACTGATCTCTCTGTTCTCAAAGAAGGGTTTCTCAACTTCCATAGCAGAAAAACAACAGAAACTAAACACATCCACAAACTAGGTTCACACCATCCCCCTTCTCTCAATGGCTGACTTGTTTTCGTGTAATCTTCTCTATTATCATACAGGTTTTGACTTCACACCTTTCTTTACCCGTCTGCACTTTGCACTTCCTGAGTGGCCTCTCTGCCTCTCTGGCCCTCCTGGCTCCTCCCCTCTCCCAGCTTTTGTTCTTCTGTGCTATTTAATCTTTGCTTTCTGCCCTGTCTTTCTCACACCTGAAGAAGGTTTCACAGCTGAAAAGTTGTGTTTTCTCTCTTCTCTTATCAGCATGTAATAAACCTATTACTTGTTCTTTTGGAGACTACGCATGGAGACGCAGCTACCCACCTGAACTATATTAAATATATGTTCGGTTTTATAAAACATTGGCAATTGTGTTTTGATTGTGAGTCATTGTAATTGCATTCAGGCAAACAGGATTTCAAGTGTTACTTTTGCCTTCAGGATTTCAAGTTTCCTGATTAAATCAAACACTACATGAGAAACAGAAAAACTGGAGGCATTGCTATTATTGGAATCATTCTATACAGATGAAATCGGAGTAACCCCTAAGCACCTAATTGTCAAACTGCAAAACACAACAGAGATGAGTGAAGTTCATGAAGTTTATGAAACTGCTGTGGGATAGCATAGACAATATGTGAAAGGACACAAAATCCAAATGAAGCTTCCACTGTCAAGGGAGCAACATTTAGCATGTAGTAGCAGTAGTAGCACCCCTTTAGGGTCATTACATCTGAGTTTGCTCACGTTTTATTAACTATGAACTAGGAATATTGATCTTATTAGTATATTAGGATATGAAATAATGCAGTCAGGAAAAATAAATGACAAAATAACCACTCAATAAAATGGTACAAAATGTACTGATGCCTGAATGATATCTGGATGTCTTTATAAAGATATACAATGTATTTCTTGAATGTTTTACTTAAGTACTAACTTACTTAAGTACGTTTAGTTAATACTAACATTGATTTGTGATTATGTGAAATGTAAAGAATTATGAATATGCCACAGCTATATAAGCATACAGTATATGAATTAACTTTAATTTGGAGTGAATCATTTTGTCAGGTCTCTGACCCTGACAAAAGTGATATCAAATCATCTGCAGCTTACCATCTCTTCTGTTAAGCTTGGCAAAGCGAGGCGAATGACTGGCAGAAAGTTTTGATGAACTTTCGAAGGAAGTCTGAGGCAGCATCGATACCAGTGGTTCATCACAATTATCTATGGAAGAAATAGCAAAGGCACAAATGAGAAATAAAATATATTTTTTAAAAAAATATTCTAAAATTCTAAATCCCCTTGTATTAGAATTCATACATCCATAGGTAAGAATGACATTAACCTCCAATTTTGCATCTTGTTCTTGTTCTTTATGACAAAATACTGTGTCAAGTTCTGTTAGATGCATAAATTAGGATTCTTGATTTTCCAGTTATTTCTACATATTGTATGTTAATAGCTTGATTTAAAGAGTGTGAAGTTTGCAGCACAGATATTTTTTCCACAACTCCACAAAATTGGATGAGAAATTACTTTTTCAAAAGTTGTTCTCGAAACATAACAAAAGTTCATGATGACATCACACTATAAAGAGTATGTCTTTTGAATAATTAGTGTTCACACATCCAGAATATTCTGCATGAGACATTTTATACTAAAATTATTTCAAACAGGATTCTTGATGGTTTTGCAGAAGATCCCATAAGAAAATAACCCCTTTCAGTATAATTTAGTGGATCATATTGCAGATGTACAATGTACAATAGGTAGATTAAAAAAGGAAAATCCTAAATCCAATCTTGGGAAGGGATATCCATGGCTATTAGAAATATTATTTTTCCTCAAAAAGTACATACAGATAGTGTTTTTTTTACATTCATGCATATTAAAACTAGTATTTAATGAGCTTTGGATAAAACCGTATGACTGTGTTGGTACTGTAATTTTAACTGTGGACCTATTCTGTTTTTGTTTCTTAATTTATGTTTAAAAATTCAGTAATAGTGTGTCTTATTATAATAGTATACTAGTACTATATGCTAGCAATATATACTATATAATACTATACTAGTTATAGTATAATTCTAAACCTTAGGCCATTTTCCAAACTCAAAACCCTACTTTTTCTGTAGGCCATGTATATCATTTATTGAGTATACTTTCCAGTCAAGCATTAATCCAAAGGTGACTGATAAGGCCAGCA